TTTCTTATGTTTTTCGCGTTTGTTTTGTTACACAAGATCCTGTGATTTTATTGGATCCGGATAGGGTCGGAAGTGATATAAGGGTACCCACACGACCAGGGCAGCCACCGATTTTACGGGTCATGTGGGTAGCACCAACTGTAGCAACGAATCAGTATTTGCTATCGCTGTAATTTTGACCCTGTATTGTTTATTGCGCATTTTGAATATTGGTGGCCATGGTCGTGTCTTGAATGTTGAATCCTTAACATCACACGGCGCGATAATGAAGTTTCGTGATTTTAACTTTCAGGATTCTGACCCAAAATCATAAAAAAGTGCATATCGTAAATGTGTACAAGGTTGGTGGCGCAGATCTCCTGAACTACGAATCAGATTTAAGATTAGATGTAACGTAACACACCAGGAAGAATGTTCGCTCTGCCAAAAATTACTTATAGCTCAAAAATCAGCATAAGAAACCACCTTCTGTGCTCTAACAAGAAGCTTTCGGTTGATAATTTTACTATATAAAATTATCCCCTTTTGATCCTAACTTTGACTCTAACCCTAACCTTACCGAATTTTAAGAATTTGGTTTTCGCCGCCAACCTTGTATACATTTATGATATGTTAAAAGAAAGTTTTAACTTACATAAGTTACAAGTTACATTACATAAATCAAACTTACGCCACGGGTCAGTTAAAATAACTGTGTTAAATATCTAATGTTTTCAAGAACACTAAAGTATTTTTGAGAACACAATATTTAAAATTATGTTTTTATTTGTAAGCATAAAATTTGTAAATTTATTATATAATAATCTTTTAAGAACATTAAAGCTCCTTTTGAAACATTAAAATTCCTTTGAGAACCTAGGGAACAAAAAAGATTTCAGATATTTTTCACTGGTCGTTATGCTAGATAATTACTATTAACAAGCATAATTAATATCCTCCGAAAAAAAAACATTGTTAAATCTAGTAATTAACTTCTGACCATTATGAGTTATATTCACTAAAAAATATTTTGGTGGTTTCATCCGAAACAATTAAACCAAATTCATTTGATCTGTACTTGCGAATTTTGAAATGTAGTTTCTTCCGAAATACTAATAATAACATCCAAAAATGTAAAATCTCTATGAATATTTGGAAATTAGCAAAAACGAAAGCATAACATTATGGTCTTAGTAAAACCCGCTACGTAGATCACGTTAGGGTGAAATCCGCGTTTAGCTATATTTTTACCAGTATTATGTAAAAGCGGATTTCACCTCATGTGACCTGCGTAGTGGATTTTACTGATTCACAACGCGAGTTTCACTCTGTCATATAATAACTACATATAAGGTCCAATTTTGAAAAATTTAACAAAATAATTCTACATCATGATGATAATGGTTATTTGAACTGTTATCACAGTACATATCTTATCATAATATGTCCGGCTAGATTAAGCAGGTTTATTCGGTTCAAAATTAACAAGTTTACACTAAAACTAATTATGAAACACATGTCTGTTTTGTGAAAGTTATCTTCCCCAGCACAACCAACAAAAAACCTCGGGCACGTGAGTGGCTTTGCTATGAAATAGACTCCGAGCCAATATGTATGACTTACTGATATAATCAATTAGTCAATCATATCGATATCAATAATAAAGAAAATAAATCGTATCAATATCAATAACAATAAAGAAAATAAATTATATCAATATCAATAAAGAAAATACATAACGATAATTTTCACTTTTTTTTTTTTTATTGATATTTCTTTGCTATATTTTTTTTCTATAAAAATATGAAACCTTATTGCAATGGTTGTAAAACTTTTAAATCATGTAATGAATTTATGGGTTATGATGCCAAAGGTGCATCCAAGCAGTTTAAAACATGTAATAAATGTCATCCAAGATTCAACAAAAAACCAAAAAAAAGACCTTTAGAGTCTGATGATACTCAATCCCATGATGAGAATGAAGTTATTGATATTGAGTTCTTAAGTGAAATAGTTACAACTCTTTTGAAGTCTACACCACAAGAATTGCATCTAAATTATGAGGTAAATATTGCCAATAAGAATTTAGGTAAAGATATTTCATATGTCACTAATAGTATCGTTGATTTGATTGAAGATGCTGATAAATATAGTTGGAATTATTATCATTCATATATAAGCAAAAATATGACTATATATTGGTATTACTGTTCTCAAAGAAATACTTTGGTACCTTGATCATACAAGCATTCAGATATATCAAAACAACAGGATATTCCATCTAAAGAAAGATTTGACTGTGGTGATATTTTAAAGATTGCAATTAATGAAATTACACAAATAGCTGAAATTAGTCTTTATTATAAAAATTTACATATGAGACCAATTAATACAGTAATATTACAAAATATAAAAGATTTTATTAAAACAAATATAGACCTTCTGTTAAGAGAAATTTATATATAGCTCATTAGCAAAAATTTAATAGATATTTCAATTAAGCAAAAACAGATCCACTATTGGTGAACAAAACTTGGTCAACATCAGTATAAATATAATGATAATGCATTTGAATCTGCATGACTCTGGTTATTAGAAAATAATTATAAAATTGTTTTATAAGAACCTGAACCTGTTCATACACTAGCATTTGAAACAGAAATTATTAAACAATTAAATGAATACCAGATCACAATCAATGAATATGGAATAGATGCCATATATGGCACTAACAATATGAGGTTTAAATTATATGTTCTGTATACTAAAGTAAATGGTACTGGGTTTCCTCTTTTATACTTGTTTCTTGAAAATAATGGACAGTGTAAGGAAGGAGTACAAACAACAAAATTATAAAAATTTCTCAGTAATTTTTGTAATAAAGGACTGCAGCTGAAATTTTTTTTAATAAACAAGAACTATGCGCAAATTAATACAGTACATTTTACATAGCCTTCTACAAAAATCCAATTATGTAAATGGCATATAAAATGTACTATAACAACAAGGTTATTAAGTAATAAAACTATTAGGTCAACATTTAATCTGCTTTCAGAATTTAGCAAGAGATTTTTATTCGATAGAATTCAACAAACAGTACAATTTTGTCTCAAAGAATATCAGGCATTAATATGACAAATTATGAAAAAACACATGCACCAACATTCTTTAATTCCAACAAATAATGAAAATTTTTTATCTAAAGAAGAAATTTATTGTCAGTCCATTCAAGAGATGTATCTATTCTGTAAAGATAGGTTATTAATTTCACTTTGGCTATACATGTAGATAGAATGGTATGTAGAATCTAAGTACATATTGTGGACATGTGCCTCTTGTAAAAGTATGATTTCTGTATTAAATACTATGATATTTATCGAAGGATACTAGAAAATAATCAAATGAGACTTCTTGTATAAATTTTTTCATCCACAGATGGATCTTGTTATATACATATTAACAAAAAAGATTATTATGCATCAAAATCGCAAGCTAAACCAGATTTACATAAGCCGGAAAACCCCAAATTGGATTAAGGATTTTAAACATGAATGGAAAAGTTTATCTAAACGGTAAATAGACAACAATAATATATATGCAACAAATATAGAACAATGGGTTTGTGGATGCACCTATTATTTAACAAGTTGGTTTAATTTATGTAAACATTTGGTGTATAGAAAAACGAATATAACAGCAGAATTTTTTCTTAATATAAAAAGAAGTTGTCAACCTTCTTTTTTAATCAGAATGAACTCAACAGAAAGTGAATCTGTCAAGCAAGTTAATAATAACAAATTTACTAATAATTTGATTGAATTAATCGAAGACTATGAAGAATCACTTAAAAATTATAATGTAACATTTGATAATTTGATTGAAAAAACCAAAAAAGCACTTGTGCTCTTAGAAGAGCAAAAATTAGCTAACAACACAAAATGGATTAAAGCAGTAAAAAAATCGTTCAACCTGCTAGTTAGTTGGTTGATGAAGTTGAACAATATCGAAGAAAACAAACCATGCTGTTGACTTGGAAAGACTATACTAATAATACTCATTATTTGTAATCTTTTTTTTTTTATTATAAATCTGTTAAATCAATATTATATATGAATTATCAGCAAAGATTATTCTTCTGTAAATACATTTTTTTATTGTACTGAGATGTAGTAAAGACAAATGAATGCAATTAAATATATTTTTTTTACTTGGGTTGATATTCGACTTGTTTTTTTTTTTATTTAACATTTCATATATAACATTAATTACTAGTTACGCCACACAAGCCACAGCCACTCACATGCCCGAGGTTTTTTGTTGGTCGCACTGGGGGAGTTGTGAAAGTTTTATAATTTCTACACGTAAGACGCTAATAAAGTAGATACAAAAAGTAACACGTTTAACTTTCAAAGAAATTTACATTTATATGTTAAAATCTTGCTTTTATTACAGTATTTTTCAAAATCTAATTAGTTACGATATATTTGAGCCCTTTATTATATAATCCCCGACCACTATATGATCACGGGTGGATTATTGTTACTAATCCTTTATAAGTAAACTCTTTTAATGGTTAGGGTTAGGGAAAGCACCCTTTTTTTCGTGTTAGGACAATATGAAAAGCGCCTTTTTTTCTTTACAAACTGTACATGCTATCATGACTTCTACACGTCCGTCCTAATTTGCGTTTCCGTACAGTACTACTTACTAGGTCATAGGCAGAAGTTTGTCTGATTGGCTAATAAATTCAATTTAATTTTACATTATTTATACACTTTAGAGTACTTTT